GTGATTTATGCAGTTAGGTGTAACAAATTTTACAAGTTTAATTACACTCCAGCTTATTCTGATTAACTTGGAGTCTCCGATCTGGCCTCTACGCAATGATCCTTAACCGGGTGAACCAATGGTCCTTGATTCTTTTTTTTTTTATATTTTGCGTTTTTTTTTTCCTTTTTAATTTTTCAAATTCTATACCTGGTCTGCATTTTTATTTGTTAATAGTGAAACTGCAGTTTATTACAAGTGAAAGTAATAAGTCCGAGGATAATATTGATAGTTGTATATAGCCGATTCTGGTTTTCAATACATTCAAAGCATTAAAATAATACCATAACTGAGCAAATCCTTACACCCAGTAACCTTTACAATAACCTAGGGATATCCCCTTTCACTACAGAGGGTATATTCAACTTTGGTCCTTATGTACGTGGAGTTTTCAATGTCATCTGTCGGTTGTAGTGTATATTAATTTCAATAGAAAAATATACTTTTTATAAAGTTTTTCAAAATTTGTGCAAAGATGATGCAATATATTTTATTACTTGTTACGCATTTTTGAATTTAATGTAAATTTTGAAAGTATATTTTCATACTGTATTTTTTTTCACATTTAATCACGTTTTTTTATGAATTATATGATTTCAAAAAGTTGTGAAATTCACACACATAAAAAAAGATAAATAAAAATTATAAAATCACAATTCATTCAGAAAACCTAAGAAATTTGAAAATAAGACGAGACTTTGAAAAACGTGATTTCAAATACCTAGTGTTGTATGCTATGTTTATCACTTTATAACAAAACATTTGTCTATCTCGGTTGTTCTATCCTCTAAACTAAAAATATTAATAAATAAATTAAAAAAAATCTTAAAGCCAGCCTTTATCATTCACATATTTATCAAGTTTTCGCTTAAACTCTCTTAAATGTACTGCCTCCACAACATCCAGAGAGAACCCATTCAAAAGGCCAACCACCCTGTTAGCTGAAGATGACTTTACCCCGCCGAAATTCATATTTGTGTCCCTTAGTCCTACTATTCTCACTGTTAAGTATGAAAAAAATTGATGCATCAACACTATCAATTTCCTTTACAATCTTAAACACCCCAGTCAAATCCCCTTCAACTCTTTGTTTTTTAAGATAAAACAATTTGAGAGATTTCAACCTCTCCTGGTATGGCAACACCTCCATCCCAGGCACCATTCTAGTAACCCTTCTCTGAACACGATACCACAAATGTGGCCTAACCAGTGACCTATACAATGAAATTATAACATCTTTAGACTTTTATGCAATATTTCTGTAGATACAACCTAAAATCTTATTTGCCCTACCACTAGCAACAGCACACTGCTTGAATAGTTTTACACCAAGTTCACTTTCTTTCATGACACTGTTAAGGTTATTCCCATCCAAATTATACTTATAATTTAAATCATGATAGCCCATAAGCATTATCTTGCATTTATTATAATTAAAACCCATTTGCTAAACTCACTAAAGGATCTAAATCCTTTAGTAAATCAGCATCATTCTCTTCATAGCTTGTTACATTCAAGTTTGATCAGATATGAAAACATCCGATATCTTCTAAAGATTCTACATAACACTAAACACTTGCAACAATAGAGCTGCTTACGAGAACATCAAAATTACATCCAATTATTTACAAGAAGTTCGATGCATCACATCTGTCAAAAAACATTTCACCCACTTAATATGTTTTGGCTTATTATAATAATAGTTTACACTAGTTCAATTATATATTTCCTATTGTTATTATGAGTTTTAAAGAAGACTAAAGAAGGTGATCCCGCTAGTGTAGATTTAAATGTTACTACTTGTTCCTGTAATTCTCCAGGTTAATTTCAAGTATTCCCCAAGAGGTATATGCTTTTTTATGATCCATTTACATCCTGGAAAAATTTCCTTCCTCTATGAACACCAATCATGCTTCATAAATAATAGGTGACCTCTTAGTTGTTCAATCAGCATCATCAATAGTACTCCCATTTTAACAGTTCTGATGTCAGAAATGTAACTATTCTCATAAGTATTAAATCTGTTAATTTATAAAATAAACTTTAGTTTCCAGCCACGCAATCTAGTATTTTATTGAATGTTTGAAATAATTCTTGTTTTATTTATTTCGTTTTTTTAAATTTCACGCAAACCTACACAAGGGCTATCTGCGCTAGCCGTCCCTAATTTATCAATGAAAGACAATAAAGGGAACACAGCTAGTCATCACCACCCACTGCCAACTCTTTTACCAACAAACAGTTGGATTGACCATCACCTCATAATGCCCCCACACCTGAAAGAGCAAGCATGTTTGGTGGGATGGGATTCGAACCAGCGACCCTCAGATTGTGAGTCATGCGCCCTAATCACCTGGCCATGCTGGGTCCGTTTATTTGGTAGTACATTCGTGTTGTACTTTGGACTTCTGGGTTAAATCTAACTTTTATATTGATGCGGATTGTACCCAGTGTTGCACCTCTATGAAGCATTTTGATAAGGTATTATAGCTAGGTCTGGTGGTTGTTGTGCTTGTTTACACGGATATCATACACTAGCTGGCTCTGTACTAAAATACATTGTGCTTGTGTCAGTGATTTGTAACTCTCAAACTCGTATATCTTCTTTGATTTTTTACGTCATCTTCATGTAAGATCTATTAACTGCTTTTCACTATCAGGGTTGTCATTTCCATGTCTATCTCACGTTTAGATTTGTCATTTAGTGAAATCTCACCATTCAGCGGCATGTATTAAATTTTTATTTGCCCAATCAAATGCCATTTGCATTCATTCAATAATCCCAGTTTTATAATATTCAACTAATTTGTTGGTCCCAAGTTTTTCGAACTCTATCCCAGTATTGTGATATATGCTAAATGTTTTATATATGCATTGGTTGCTAGGTGATATACAGACCCGCCGACAAGGGGGGAAACTGCTCGGGGGCCCGGCGAATGAAACCTGGTTATGCCGTAAAGCCCGCAAAGCATCTTTAGGCTAAATCTTCATTTAATGATAAAAACCATAGTTTTTGGCTTTTCTTTGCATATAGACGCTTGGTACATTAATAACGACTGAAATAATAATTTGAGTAATAATTAATATGTATTTGTTACTTTATAGATTTAATAGACATTTGTTGTTACTTTATTAACGTTTTTACGCTTACACTGAGGTAAAAATGGCTGCTGCTATGATTTTTTCTGGTTTATGAGCTCGTTGCTGTCCTAATTAGGATCTTCTTTTTAATAAATTTTTGAAAATATTAAAAAAGAGAAAAGGGGCTCGTGCTGGCTCTCGCCGTTCCTGGTGATACACAACACTCCCCCATAAGCAACTTACAGCTGTTTTTTTTTTTTTAAACTCTATCTTAAGTTCCAGATAGAGACACAACTGCACGTGGCCAAACAAGTAATGTCTTTATTCCACGTGAATGACAATTAACCCATTCATAAATGTGGTTAACTCATTCAATTTCATTTGATCTAGTCTAAGTAGCACACATTCACTGCATTCCCTTTCTTACAATTCTCATTTAAAAAAAATTATTATACGAATTTTCTTAATGTACAATATGTGTCATTTATTAATTCAACTAGCTTATTCATTAATTCATTAAATTTTCATAACTGAAAGTAAAATTTCACAGTTTGAATACACATATATATATATATATATGAATAATTAAAACACAAATCAATTACTTTCTTAAATAAATAAAGATATGGAATTTGAAACACAACAATAAATCAAAGAATGAGTGATAGCTTGGAAATAAATTTTTAAAAATTAAAACTTTGTGAAGCATTATTTTATCCTTCTCTAATAACTTTGTGATATGCAAATATTGCATATATAACTCCTCTATAATATATATATATCATATGTACAAATATTGAACTTTTTCTTATTTTCTTGTTTGAAATATTTTAAATTTACTTTCTAGGAGAGTAGTCATGAAATTTTTTTTACTGTTTTATGAGAACAGATGATAGTGTCCATCATTCTCATTAAATCATCTTAGCTCAAGGACAATGGTGGAAAATTGCACAGAAGGGGTAACCTGACTACATTTACTCAGATCTCCATTTTGTGCAGCAAACTGAATAAGTCAGCATTCAGTGTTCCTGAAGCCCATTCTCACTTCCATCCATCAAATAATTCAGCAAAGGAAGATTTAGGTCACTTTTTAGGCAGTTTTTCAGATAACTATTTGATAACTTAAATGATCTTGTAATAGATGTTGTTGACTGCCTGGAAGCTGACTAATTGCGTATGTGAGACTGTAATTTCAACCCAATAGAAAATATAACTTTCCAATGGACAGAATTTAAGAGGAGGTTAGCTGGGTACTCCAAATAGCCAGGACACACGATACTTTACTCCAGCATGGCATTAGCCAACTGAAAAAGTCTTCTGGTTCATAAGTTTGTGGACAGGTTTCCTAATGAGTCCATGTGACACTTCTAGGGCATTAGAACATTATATCAATAACTAAATGTGTCAGACAACAAGATTTGAGGTAGTAACTTCAACTAAGTTGCCAGAGTAGAAGAAAGTTGTAGATATCAGTGTACATTTCCAGTATACTTACACCCATTGTAACTTTATAATGTAGATATTATATAATATTTGCTATAGTATTTCGATTTTTCAACAGCAATGCTTTATCCTTTTAATACATTACATCATTGTCAAATACATTTGCATTCTCATTAGAAAAATGGATTATGTTTATTAATGTTTTTTGTGTAAAACAATTCCCAATGAAAACTTGTAGTTGAAACACTTGATTGATTAACATTCAGTTTTTAATGAAATTTTAACTTGTTTTGATTTTAAAAATACTTTTGATACATCCAAGCTAAATAGATAAAGTATTTATCTGAATATCCTAATTTTCGTTTTAAAAGTTTATTATTGAATGCAAAGGTTTTGGGGTTTTAAAGAGTATCAATAAATACATTTGCACAACAATATAGGTTCTAATGAAACTTTTACTTCATTTCTCTGTGAAGAACATATATCTGACTACATGCATACAGTTGTCTCTTAATTGAACACTATCAACTAAATTAGTACCAGTTCATCATTTATGTTCCTATTATTGAGAATCATTGAAAATAGGAATATGAAATTTAATACATTCTTGGCAGCTGATTAGACACAGTAGTTATGAGGAAGGAAGCTCATCATAATACTGCTAAGCATCCTTCACATGTTAAACTTTAAGGTTATTTATTTACCATGTTTTATAGGTGGAAGTTAAAATTGTAGTAACTTATTATAACTTCTGTCAACTTCCTTTGGTTGTTAACAATACTTGTGATGTTGATGCACACATACAGTTACAGATGATTCAAAAAATATCAGTTTACAATACATTTCCTATCATTGAAAAATAACACCGAAGCACTAATTACTTTGGCAATAATGCAAGATAAACTCGATTTGAGCACAACTAAGATTTTTTTTTAGGTACAGCCTAGTCCTCTATTAAAGTGCTAGTCAGTATTTTTTAGCAACTTGCCCTATGATGTTTGAGATTTAATAAGTTGTAAGGTATGTCACTGTTATGGATATATATACATATGTGAAAATTTTGAAAAGTATGGTCTATTCAAACTACCCAATAATGTGTCAAAGGGATTGCTATAAATGAGAGCTCATAGAAAATATATAAGACAATGCTAATGCACTTAAATGTTAAACATATAATTCTGATAAGCAAGTAACAACACATCTAAGAATGAGATATAGCAATTCACTCTAAATTAATTCAGAACTGAAAAACCAAAATGGTACAACAAATATCATGTATAAACAATGAATATTAAAGACCCTGAATTGCTGTTTTACTTTATTTTAAACATATTGCATATGAAAATTCCCTATATACACAATTTTATTCATCCTACAAATGAAAATAGAGAGGAATATTTGGCAATTCAGATTATACTGAAAGTAAAGCATGGATTGCTTGCCATTATTATGCAATACACGTAAAACAATGGGACATAAACGTGCTTATATAGCATGGCAAATCTGTTCCATGTTTTAAATGTTACAAATACGTAATCCTGGGAGAAAATATTTGACTACTGAAACCACATTATATTAGTATCAACAAATAATCTGTGTCTAAATAATCATGTATTTCTAATCAAATGTGAGAAATCAGTGCATTTTTAGTTACTTACTCTTCAGTTCCAGCATGCTCTAGTAGAGTGAAGTGGTAACATCTACACATCTTTATCTCTCTATATTTTTTTCTTTGTATTTACTAAACATTTCAAATTAAAATAAGCATTAAAATAAAAAAATCAAAAAAAATCTTACAATTAGATACTAAAAGCCAAAAGTACAGACATCAAATTGAATAATAAACTTTAACTGGAAATTAAACATAACTGTCTGTTTAGCGAAACTGCACTACTAATAAGTAACATGACAACTAACATCATCAGAAGAAACTTGATATTCAGATAACTTCAATGTTACGGTCATCGAGCAGTCATCAAAAGAATATCTCAGATACAGATGACAGTAAATTTTAATATTACTTACTTGAAACTTGCAATGAGACAACTAGTATTTTTGACTGGATATCAGGTTTTGGGTATCTAGCTCCTCACATACAATCTGATTTATATATTTATGGATCAGGTAGTAGATGTGGCCATACATACTGCAAATGGATCATAAATGTGAGCTACCACTTCGTTGTAGTACAGTTTTACCCTCAGTATTTCATTGTTTCATTTTGAAAGTTTAATAAGGATATACAGTTCTGCATGAGTGAGTGGTCATTGCAGGTCCTTTAACAGAATGTGGAACATGACTGCTTTGTGCTCCAAATCCCCTGCTAAAACTGTTGTTTGGATTGTGCTTACTGTTGTTGTCATTGCCGCTACCATGACCACCTGTGGCATACAGTGGTAACACAACAACTATATATATTTCAGCTAAGAGGACTTCCTCTCTTTATTACCAAGGAAAATGTTACTAACATAGAAGCTAGAAGAAAGCACCAGTGAGCTAGATGGTGCAATACCTATTATGTGTGATGCACATGCAAGTAGCATCATTCCTGCATAATATTGTAAGATAATCCACAGATGGAAATACTGATTATCTGATTAATCACAAAATTAATATCAGATTGGATTACATCAGATAGTGTGATATTATAATGGATCAGGAAATCTTCCATCACTAGAAAATGTCCTAAATTATTAAAATTAGCATACATGCTGATAGCAGGAGAAGATTTAGCATTAAGTAAAAAATGGAGATTTTAAAAATTTTCTTTATACTATGACAAAGTTTATTATAAATTAAAAGTAGATTGATAAAATTAGCAATATTTAATTAATCACATATTTTAGTATCATTACAACAGTTGAGAAATTTTTTTGTTAGCTGATCTACTATGTTGCAATCTCCAAATATGCCTAAGATAAAGTACAATTGGCAAAACATAATTTTTTTCTTTTGTACAAGTACTCCATATCTGGAAACAAAATATCTTAATTCTCTATAAAATGTCTGCTTCCTATCTACATATTTATATTTCACCTGAAAAAAAATCTATGCTGAGAGATTCATACTGGTATGAATTACTCTCATTCAAACTGGTGTGAATTATTCTCATAAACATAAGCAGCCCTGTATTTCAAAATGACAGAGAACAGATATGATAATGCCACTGCTCCTTGAAATATCATCAGGCAATCTAAATTATTTTGAAACTAAATGCCACTTTGAACCAAAAGAATTTACGTACATTCAATGCAATCTTCGTTAACTGTCATTTTGTGATGCAATAACAAACATCTCAAACAATGCATGAAATCAATTAAATGAGTAACTGCTAATTTATTGAGGTAAAATAATTTTTTGGTATTTTAGTAAAATGACTTAGTAGTTACCTTATATTATGATATAATTGTGAAATATTTTACATAACTAACTGCACTACATATGATAGTATTATCCTATAACTAAATATATGTACTTAATACCTACAACTTGAAAAAAAAAAATTGATTTTTGAGACTAGATACACAATCTTGATCTTTTCCATGCAAGGGCTAGTGAAATAAGGATTAAATGTATTTGTAAAATTATCATTAACAAACTATTAAGATAAAATATTTGTACTATTACACATTTTCTACTACAACTATCAACTAAGATCAATTAATACGTTTATTTATCTAAGTATATTTCTCAAATACTTATAAGCCTTAAATAATTTCACCATCTAAACTAATACTGTTGAATGAGCATGACTACGATGTAGGTACTTAAAAAAATCCTTAATATTTTTCACAAACAGATCTACAATTAAAATACTGTAAAATAAAAATTTTCTTTAACAGTGAAATAAGTAGTGTATGTCCAAGCATTTTAATTCATTAAAGTAATATTTGTAACTCTTGGTAGAAAAACATTTTCTTCAGTTCAATATTTAAGAGTACGAGCTTTCTAATAAAAAACTGCACTTCAAATACAATATTTATTGAACCCGATAATTTTTTTAATGCTTTGAGGTAATGTATGAATAAGTATTAAGACTTTTCTACAGGTATGGTAAAGTTTCAAATTTTACAAACTGTAGAATGTTCCATGGTTGTTATCTAAATGGAGCTATGTATTGTATAATTTCTTTTGCTTTAGAGAACCAAATTTTAAGGTCCTGTTTTATGGATAAAATTACAATTTAAAAAATCATTTCACTTTAAAAATTAAATTCTAAATACTTTTTATGGTTAAAAAATCTAATTTTCTATAATACAGCACATAAGTAAATCTTAGATTTATTTCCAGTTGTTGATTCTGAACTGAAGGAGAACAAACTTTTAGATAAAAATTGGTGAGAAATAGCTTAAATGTAACACTAAAAGGATAACGTAACACCTTTCAACTAAGGTAATAACCTAAATTCTGTATTGTCTAAATACTGAATTAAAAATAAATGTGGAAATAAACATAGCAAAACATTCTAGTAATCGTTTTTTTATATAATCAATATTTTACTTTTATTCAGTGTCTCAAATCTAAGAATGTAAATTCCTGCTGTAACCAGCAAGAACTATATCCTGTATTCAATACTGTAAAATCCTGTTCTAACCAACATGATCTTATTTGCAATCAAAATATGTATTACTGATATAATCAGTAGTGTCTTGCTTTCTTAAAGCATACTTTCTTCTCATATATATATACACACACAAGATTTTTCTATTTCTCATATTTAATATGAAAACAAAAAATTAATAACTTGCTTAACCTAAAGTATAAAAATAAATTTATATTAGCATTTTCCTCCATAAAATTCTCAGGAACATTCACACAATCCCACATTTTTTACTCCAAAACATAAGAATACATTAATAAAGAAGAAAAGATAATACAGAAAAATGTGACACAAGAGACTCGTGCATAAACTTAGCCTCCAGTAAGAAAAAAATAACAAAATGTTTCTTTAAGTCTGTAAGTCAAAAACTCGAGTTAAAAATGTCTTTCATAACTGTACTCTGAATGTGTATAGCTGTCTATAAATTGTTCAAAGACAAAGAAAACTCCACTGGTTCATAGTCCTTATCCCCCCTATAGCTAACATAGAATTTCTAGAAACCACATGCCTCAGATAAATATGACACAATTAACTATTATTATAATGCATAATGTTAAGCTTACAACTTCATGTGAAACATGCACATACAGTTTCTAATTCTTTATACTGAGAAAATAATAGTAAATAACCACATCAAAATGATTTAATAAAGCAATTAAAAAAAATTAGACCTAATAAACTAGTCCAAAAAAAAACCCCTTTAAAATATCTTTCTTTCAGTAATAATCCATTTTTCATTTTAAGATATCACAGAATAAAACCTTTCTGTACACAACATGAACATGACAGTGATTTGACATCTTTAACAATGTCCTAAATTTTGTACAGAAAATGTTAGATCTGCCTTGATAAAAAGGTATTTTCAGGTAAAGTCTTACAACATTTGCTACTTGTGTGATCATTTATCAGATTCAGGCTTGGAAATAGATGTTTGTAATAAATTATTAAGAGTTAATGGCTGAAGAAAACATTAAAAATTCACAATGATGCCCAAGTAAAGTACATTTTCTAAAATGCTTTCTTTATTATAAATTAATTTTAAAACTAATTAAAGGTCAAAGCTAAATGATATACAGTTTTATTGCATAATCAAGGCATTTCAGAATAGCAGCTATTGTTTGTTTAATTCCATAAAAAGATTAACTAAAACATGCAAAATAAAAATTTATAAATAATCTTTAAATACAATCAGGCTTATACATAAATTTTTTCTATCTTCTATTCAAATTTAGTATACATATACAAGTTACAAATGATGTAGCAATGTTGATTGTTACTAGAAAAATAGTGGCCCTCTACTACATCCTTTAAAACAAAGCCCAATCAAAGAATTTAAGATTATAAAATTATGATAATCAGTACCATTCCGGAAAACATATAAACTAGATAAACTTATGAAATACTGTGAAGTTTATTTTAATATTCTAATAGTTGCATTATTCATAATGAACTTTTCTTTGGCACCAAAATAAAAAAAAAGCATATATTTTTCATTTGAAAAAAAAAAAAGACTATTACCTAATCAAAAAACAATCAAACTTAATAAATTCCTTTTGTTAAATTCAAATATGTTAGTAAATATGTAGCAACTATATGGTAACATATATCACGTATAAAACTAATTTTCAGAGGTAACTTTGTGGACTGTAAGAACTAATAGATGGTCATTTCTTATTACACATCAAAAAAGGGTAGAAAATGTGCTTTTCAAAGAAAGATCAAGGCAAAAAAAACAAAACATCTAAGTTATTATTTAAAAGAATCTTAGCCACAAACCCATTTCTTTTGTTGCACACCTAAAACTCAGATTACATCAATGAAAAAATGTAATTTTATATTAATTGAATATTTGAAAAAAATTCAAGTAAACACTTTTGTCATTATTTGTTTTTCCAAACAGATGAATAAAATTTACCCTAATGATCAAATACAATTTAGAAATGTCATAGACAAACCAGAGGAGAAAAGAACACTGCAAAACAAGTAACAGTATATTAATATAGAATGTTTATTATCTAATACTTCTGTTTGTTATTTATTTATGGCAAGGCTACCAAGGCTCACCATCCCTAATTTTATACTACTGACCAGAGGGATGGCAGCCAGTTAGATGCACCCTACCACCCACCATAATAAAGGACTGACTGTCACTCTTGTAATATATCCACAACTTAAATTTAAGGAATGTTTTGTAGTATCATACCCAGCTCTAAAAGTCAGAGCTCTACCCCAGGGCCAACTCCTGCTCCTAATATTTCTAGTCAACATTTGTAAAAGAAACATACTACTGTTCTTTTTATGCCATAAAAAATGGAAGTTAAATTATACACATCCTTTTCTTAGCTTTTTTTAATCCAGGGTTACAGTGATCAACCATACTGTAACCCTTTTTATAAAAGTTCATTATATTGCTTTCTTCTTTATCTAAATTACTGAAGTTATAGCCCACCTACTTTCTTTTAAAATTAAATTATATTTCAGTAAAACCTTGTAGACTACTCATCAATAAGACTTAACAAACAATAACCTTGCTATGTAAAATAAACCACACAGGCTGATTACTGTTTTCACAGGCCTTCTTTTCTTGAAACTACTTTTTATGATGCTGTCTTCCTTGCACCTGTACTGTGATTAAAAGAGTTATATTTTCCTCTAACCTACGTTTCAGGATCAGTTATTAAAATAATTCTGTTTTAAGGCAATACTCAAATTACACACATGTAGTTAAATGAAGCTTTGAAGAAATTTTGGTTCATGTTAAAAATACCCTTAAGCTGAAACTAACTTAAAAATGTTTCCTTATTGTTTATATAATTTTTTCATTAAATATGAAAGCATAGTTTTAATAATATATCTATGGTCAAAAAGACAAAATAAATTTTCTTAGTTATCCAATATTTTAAATCCTAACACTGTCCAATCAGGTAGTCTCAAAGAAGATACTGCTAAAACCTAAAATGTTTTTTATACAAAATTTGGCAAAAAAAAAAAAGTAGCAAAAAAGAAGACTCACAAGAACAAGAAATTTGATTCATTTAGCATCACACTTCCCAATGTGTAAAAATGAATTAATAACAACCATACCTATAGCTAAATAACCAAATTAAAACATACTTGTTTTTACAAACCAAAATGTCCAAAATATGAAATCTAATTAGTTGCTACTTATACTTACTAGTATTCAAGTTTAACAAAGTATAGAATTTCTAAATTGATATACAAAAAATGTGCTTTTATAAAATCATATTTTTTCAATTACTGTTGATTACCAGCAATTTAAACATAAATTAATAAAAATAACAGATTATGACAATGAAATCATAATCCCATAATCACAGATATACCTAAAGTAATCAGATAACACAAAACAGCGAAATAATTAACATCTTTTCATATAGATAATTTTGTGCTATCAACTAATATTGATAGAATATTGAACAAAATTAAATTTTTTTTCAATTATTTTACACAGATTAAAATACATAAATATTAATTACATTTAGTAACTAATTAAAGTAAATAAAATCTCATTAAGATTTTATATTTAAGAAACAACCTAAACTGGTATGAACTCAGGAAGTATCAGTAATTTATGTTACCCATATAAAAAGCATACAAGTATGTATTAATGCACTCTTGATAAACTCACAAATTCCTGTTTAAGACATAAACATGAATAGTTTGTCCAAAATAGGCTTACTGGACAACTATAAGTTAACATTCTAGTTTTTTGATAGGTGTCAAGTTCATAATTAAAAAAAAATTTAAATTCTACATCAGCAAATGTCAAATAATACACAAGATATCTCCACTGATAAACACAACAGTGAAAATAAAAATCAAGGAATTTAATATTTTGACCAATGGCACGACCTTCTAACTGTTATCTTTCTACAGCTTGCACAAATGGCTTTATGTATTCCCTAAACAGTTGCACATATATGCATGTAAAAAGATACAGATGTGAAACCTGGGACAATATATCTGATCAACTGCATGATGTAGGTGGTTGTAGAAATTCACTGATATCTGAGGCTGATGGGATGAGCTTGTCATTTTCAGCTGAAGAACTTTTGCCAGATTTCTTTGGCGGTGGCAAAACTACGGGTAGTACAAATATGGCTAAGAGAGCTATTATGTGTCCTGAGAAATAGAAATTCCTGAGGAAGAACATCAAGGATTAGTGACTGTTTTATTAATCTTGCATAATGTAATTGCACTTTCTAAATGAAATGGTCATGTACTAATTTAGTCTGATTAATAAATTTAATCTAGGAGTATATATAGCAGAGACAGCTGATACAAGTATAGAAAACTCTTATTTGAAAGGCAGAAAACAAATAATATTTCGATCTCCTTAGATTGAAAATAATATTTGAAAGAGTGACCATTATTGATCAAGTGTTGTGGAGAAGACTGTATTAATAGGTATAAGATTATAGAGGGCATTGTAAATATTTAACCTATTATATGGTAGTTAACATTAAGGAATAATTAGTACAGATATAAAATTGTTCCTTGGTGCTGGTTTATTGTGGGTTTAAGTTATTGTATTAGAAGAACTTCCTTAATATTTCATTTGTTTACTTTGGTTTCTTTACATAATTTTCTAACATACTGTGGTTATTTGAGACACAATGTTCAAAAACATGGGAGGGCGATTTTTTATGTTCATTGAACTTGGTTTCCATTTTTTGGCTTGTTTCTCCTACATAGAAATCAAGGCAGTTGTTGCATTGTATTCTATACACGACATTAGTATTATGATTGTCAGAGTAGTTTGTACACGGTATAGATTTTAATTTTGTACCTGGTTTTTGAATGAATTTGGCATTTACTGGAATGTTACATTTGGTTACGAGTTTCTTTCCAAATGTTAGTTATTTTGTCCCTGATATCTTGGATGTACGGTACGCAGCAGTGTAGTGTTTTGCCGTTAGTTGTTTCATTGTCTTCTAATACAAGAACTTAAACCCACATTAAACTGGTACCAAGGAACAGTTTTATATCTGTATTAATTATTCTTTAATTTTAACTACCATATAATAGGTTAAATATTTACAACACCCTCTATAATCTTATACCTATTAATACTGTCTTCTCCACGACACGTGATCAATAACAGTCACTCTTTCAAGTTTCATTCTCAACCTGATGATGACCTAACGAAGTCTAAACGTTATTTGTTTCAAGTGGGTTCCTGTCATCATGAACTAATTTAGGAGGATGGAGTTATCTTATCAATACTGCTAAAATAAAAAAACTAATTCCACAAATAAAATTAATACATATTTCAGCTGTAATGTTTAAATACACAAAGACAATTTAAGTTATTTAGCTGAAATGTAAAGGTATTTCGATAATTTGTCTAGCAACATAGGAGGGGTGATCCGATATCAAACCTTTCCAATATAATGAATAAACAGTGTAGGAAATGCAATAGATATGGATAAGTAATTTTGTAGTACTTTTTTTGTTCAACTACATTATCTATTCAACAACAAAACTTACTTGTACCTATCTATTTTACAGCTTGTATTAAAAATATTTTTGACTTACAATGAGACATAACACTGAGAATAGAAAATAAGAGTAACAAAAATTCATATATTGTATACTTAAGTAGAACTAGTAATTTGTTTTAAGGAATTTAGATTTTTGAAAATTAACCAAAAATTATCTAGCTCATTGAAGTTTCAAAGAATGAACAAGTATTTAACACATGAGAAGATTTTTCTTGTTTCTTAAAAACAATCACAGGCACAACTGTTTGGGGGGGGGGGGGACAATTACTCTCTTCTAGTGTTTCATATCACTTTTTTAAATTGAGGAATGATACAAATGTGTAGTTTGTGCAGTCACTTTCATTTAACAAGTTTCCAGTTTGTGCCTACAAGTCCCATATAATATCCACCAATTCACACATTTCTGCCTCAGCAGAAAGTTTGCGAGCATGAATCCTCATAACAACTATAGAAGGTGGGAGAATTGATAGTTGGGACATGATTTTCAACAGTTTCTAAACTCTTATAAACTATGTGAGTGATAATTTGGTAAATAATTTTATTTGAGAATAGAATAGGTTTAAAAAATTATTTTGCCAAAGAGAATAAAAACTATATCAAAATTGTCTTCCACAGTAAGTAGAAAACAAAAGGCTCAAAATTTAGCTGTCATGTCTTATCAGCTAAACGAAAACTTACAATCGAAAAGAGGAAAGCATGTGAGGGAAGGGAAATGAAGTGTATCCCTAGTATTATGTATTTTATGATAACATGCAAACCAGTATTTCTGTGCCATTGCCACATTTCATAAATATGTTATTATTCAGCTTCTTTTTTATTTCATTACCTTTGCATAGTTTATAGTCTACAGACAAGCTTCAGGAAGCATCTGGTTCATTTTATAATACCTCATTTATTTACTGCATAAAACCTGAAAGTAAGTAAACTCTCAAAACTTATCTTATCTTATCAGTTGAAATTCTTATTATGTAAATTACTGTTGCCCTATAGTCACCATGAAAATAGATATAATAAAATCCCTTGGAATTTATTGTTATCACTGTTATTATTGTATTGGTACAAAGTTAAGGTAGTCAGTCTCAAATCTAAGGCAACCTTATTTTTCAAAGGTGAGAAATTTAAAAAAACATTAAATGTACAAAATAGCAAAGTTGCTGTTTGTGATAAAAAAATATTTATAAAAGAAATATATGAAATAATCACATAAAAATTTCCCATAATAAATTGCGTTTTAAATTTTTATCTGTAAGAAACTCAATCCTGCTTAAACTTGCTCCCCCCTGTCTAGTAAAATTTGAAATAGTGCTCCTGAAAACAATTTCTTTGTGCAAAGATCAACGTCAACAAAGTGCTCATAATGAATTTACATTGTAAATGCCTCTGGGGTCCTTAATAGCAAGCATCTGGTAATCACAGAAAAATAGTGCCAAAGTGTCAGGTGTTGGATGATGAAAAATGTCACTTAAACTCAAAAATATGCAAGTTTTCAGCATTTCAGTTTATTTTGTGAATAAGATACTTATTATATCAAAAGCTTATCCAAAGCACTGATAAAAATTATCAATAATCCACTACAACATCACAAACTATGAAGGCATCAACTTCTACTCACGTCTTTTTTTTGGGTTTCTTAAAAATATGTTTTCAATAGACAAATTTACATGTAAGCAATGTTCCTTACCAATAAACCTTGAGAGAGGCCATTGATTCCAAGAGGATAAAAGGAAACACTATGTAGGCTAAGGCCACTCGTGTAGCCAGACAAGAAAGGATGTCATAAAACACTGCCATTGGCCTACTGGTTTGAAAATATGGACGTACACTTCGTCGCACCTAATTCAAGGTAAAACATTTTCAAAATACACTTAGATGATCATTCTATCTTTTTATTTAAGGTGATCAGTCTTATAAAGTATATGTAGTTCATATAAAATAAGTTAAACGAGAGAAAAGTGTAATAATTTCATATCATACATTATCTTTAATTTATTACCTTGATAACACACCTTGTCAACACACGTAAGTCCATACGGAATAGTTTCACTCCAAATTAATTGCAAGATTAAAAAAATGCATGGGGAAACAATTGGAAGTATTATGTTTTATATAGATAGAATTTAAAGTATGTTTCTAATAAAATAAAAAAATTAATATCTTGATTAGTTCACAAACTGATTATTCATAAAATATTTCTTGATTGAAATGTTTATGATCCTCAATTGTCAATGAATATTTGACAGTAGGAAACTAATGTCATAAGTTAAAGATAGCTGAGAAATATAAAACTCAAACAAGCACTTGTAGAATTGATTGTTTATCATAAATTTTCAAGCTTAAACTCTGCTTCAGGATACACCAAAAGTTATTAAATCTACATTAATATATCCCTTCGATGATTTTTTATTTCTTCTATCAATTACTTTTACCATTTGGTAATTTTACATCTACGGCTCTGTCATATTCATCAACTCGTATCACAAAACCATGTTGTTTTTCTAAAAAAAAAGCTCATACAATCAAATTCTTTATTCATCCTTTATAGTTTTCAAAAATCAAAATTAAAAGAAAAAGTAATAATAGAAAGAACATTACAAGTAATTAAGTTTAATATATTATCTCATGCCATCATAAGTTTGGAATTTTGGTACTTGTAACCAGATAAAACACTTTTGGTACAAGCCTAACTGCATAATTCATAACAAAGTAACCAATTTATATCACATTTCAAACAATTTTATTTCAGAGCAAGACTTAAACTAAATGTTGTACTGAAACTTACAGAACGAGCTGCCATAGTAAGTAGAGCTCCACCAAGAAAAGTGAAGTAGTACCCTGGATAAAAACCATGCCAGATGGCTGAAAGGATGTAGGTTACCAGTGTTTTATGTCTGGCTGCCCTATCATAAGCAATCATTTTTAACCAATTCTGCGTTGTTTTGTTCCATGTTTCAAGGGATTCTCTGAAGTTCACTGACAGCTGTTAACATACATACAAATTATATGACAAGAGATTTCTTGTATTACACATTCCTCTAATGAAACATACAGACAGAATTTTATGTGAAACCATAAACTTAAAAGTACATTTGCCCACTAAAGAGAAAGCTTATGCAATGCTCTATCATATTAAGCCCTATGAAAACAAACTTTAAAACCTTAACAACTTTATTTGGTCTTATACATGCAAGAATATCAGAAACTTGGATCATTTAACAACTAATAATTTGTAAAATTAATATTTCCTAAGACTATATGCCTAAGTAAGTTATAAAATATTTATCAAAGAAGTTATAGATATAAAAAAACTATTTTTTTTCTTTAAATGAAAGGTTTAGAAGAACTTTAGTGGAAATAAATGAGACAAAAAACACACTAAAGTTTTACATTTTTTTATAAAAATATCGATTTTCTGTTCAGAGTATATAATTCAGATAAGATTTTACTTCCACAATACCATTGTACCATACCTCAAACCTCACAATGTCAACATTAGATAGTAAATCCCACTTCGGCTGATTATCACTGGAAAACCCACTGAATCCTTGCCCTGCTGCATTGCAAACTGCTTCTCCTAGAAAACCAAGCAAACACATCACTAAAAATCTTAGAATGAAGAAACCTTTTTCAGTTAAAGTCCAATCTAAGAAAGCATTAGATACAAAACTAAGTCTTTATGTCAAGTCTTTGAAGCTTATAATTATGAAAATGGACACTGACAAAAATGATGCTTGAAAAAAAATTTAAACAACAATAACTTTTGAAATATAAATATGAAACTAATTCATTAGTTACATTTCACATGATGCCCAAGTTACACCTCTCTACTTGAAATATTTTATAAATTTATATGTTGGCACATATTGAGTTATAATACTAAACTGTATAACACTAATATTTAACCAGGGGCATATGCAGAATTTTGAAGACTACAAATAGAAATAAGAAGCTATATCATTAGTTAAATTTCTTATGATATCTAAGTAACATATCTTCATTATTTACCAGTATAATCTTACCTAAAAGCCAAGCATGATAATATTTGCTTCTTACTACTGATGTTGCAACTAGGATGTATAACATTTGTGCATGCCATGGTGTTTCACTTAAAAACTTGTCTTCTACAAAATGAAAAACAAAATTACGTATGAATGTGTATGCTTTATTCTAAAACTTTCCATTCTATGATTGATTTGAAAGAATTTTTTTTTCTAAACACAAATTACAAATTAATAAAAAATATTTAAATATCTATTCTACATAGCTGACGTAATTGTAAATTTTTACTACAGAGTATCATACATATTTATACACAGCTTCAATTACTATTTTCTAAGCTAAAGCTATGAACTGTCAATTTTGTTAACTCTTTTTAATTCAGGTACTTCTACTTTATCAAATTTAAAATAATAGATTATATTCAGTTAATCTGGAAAAATAGTTTTTGATTGGCAAATAATTTTATGTGGATAAAAATGTTTCAATGAAATCAGTAATGTATAGGCCATGTATATATCTGTGTACACTAAAATAAAGATAAATAAATGTTATATAACTTATTAAGAAAATATCAAAACTTTACAAAGCATGTATATGAAAGAAAACCCATAGTTTCAATGTGGAAGGATACCTGACAAACAGTTAGGCCGTTACTGAGTTCTACATTATGACATGAGGAGACTAACACACATGATGAAAGTTCCTAAGCCATAGAGTGAGCTCTTTTTCAATTAATTTAAGTCAGTCATACACAAAAACATTGATCTGTGTAAAGTACGTATAAACCAAATATTACATCTAAAATCATGTGATCAGATTCATTTAACCCTTTTGCAATGGATACCCCTTTTAACACTTTTCTATGTTAAATTCGATAGTTAATTAAACACCTTTATTAATAATGTACAGTGCCTTGCAAAAATATTCACCCCTACCAATAATGTCCCATTTGGATGAAATACAAACAATGTAAACAATTATTTTTAATGAACTTGTTTTTATTCAAAACTCTAATGATCAAACTTAAAACTATTACGTGTGAAGGAGGTTGAATGTTAGCAAAACCTGCAAAGGAAATATATAAATTGAAAGTTGCTGATTGCATATGTATTCAACCCCTTAAGTCAGTACTTGGTGGAAGCATCTTTGGCAGCAATAACTGCTTTGAGTTTTTTTTGGATAGGTCTCTACCAGTTTTGCATAATGGGATGGCAAAATTGCTCCAATTCTGACATTCAACTTCAAAGTGTCGCTTGGCAACACAGCTTTGACTTTGCAAGTGGGTGAGGCTGACCTTAAACTTAGAAATATTAGAACGTGTTCACATGGGGAGAAATTCTTGGAAGGTATCCAGAAGCTAATGAAATACAGCTGCAGCTGTACTTTGACCATCTATGCCAACAGTCTATATTAGCTACTCACAGTTTCTTGTATAAGAGCTCTTAAAGTTGAGAAATCTAACCTCGAGCGGATCACTGACAGCAAAAACTGCTGTTTTAGATGTTTCTTTTTAAAATAAAGGAATAAAACTTAGATAATATAAAACCTTAACATAATATTTTGGGACAACATGGGACCAATTGGTCCATCTTGGCTGTTAAATAAAAACATACTTGATAATAATAATTTCATTAAAATACATTTATATTAAAGTGGTTTAATTAAATTTTGAATGTAATTCAGAAGCATACACAGAATGGGGTTCAAAAATGGCATCAATTCTATAGAGTTAAGCCACTTTTATTACACTCAGACAGAGACCATTACACTAATTTTGTGACCTTTCAAACTAATCTTTAGCATCTGAACAAAGGGGTTGAATACTTATGCAACTGAGAATATTCAAATTTTCTTTGAAAATCTAACTTACTTAAATAATATCACGTTTTTTTAGCTTTCTCAGTTTAGAGTAGATTGTGTGGATTCTAAATATAAAGTACCATTTGAAAGTTTCATGATTGCAAGCTCAGACCGCAATAAAATGTGGAAATTTGCAGAGGGGTGAGTACTTTTGCAAAGCACTGTATGTGAACGAAATTAACATTATAATGTATGTTATGATTTAAAGTTTTACGTTATTGAAGTTTTAAGTCCTTTATTTGAAAAGAGACTTTTAAAAACTAATTAAAACTTCAGATGTATTGTCATGTGAACGACAAGTTATGAACATTCTCTACTTTGGCACTCTGTATTTTTAATAATACAATGGCAGTTGTGTAGATGTACGTCTAAACTGTAAGATGCTTACTTAATTTTTTGACTCATACATTTCAAAGTTCTCTGAATGAACACTGTTGAAACAAGTAATAAATTTTGTCAAACCCTGACAGGTGCCACGCCCACTTTCAACAAATTTGTTCAAGCTTTATAGTCTACATGTAAAGGTTACATACTCATGTGTATAGTTATTAGAAAGAGCTCACTTTACAGTATAATCTAACAATGGTTATTTTGAAAGTGAGGCACAGTTGTCATCACAAAATACATATAACTGACTGCACTATTGTTGGCTGATTGATCAACTACAGCCCTTATGGGTGTTTCTTACCTAAATATGTTATAGTTAGAGATATAGTTTAAATTGTATTTAGGTCTTACTTATATATTTTAGTTAATTATGTATTAATTATATTTTAAAATGCATAATTGAAAGGTTTGAGAATTTTTTAAACATACATTATATTTTGCATTAGTTCTCAAGACTTATGATATCATGTGGTGCACAACAATTTTGCCAAAGGGTTGCACATGTCTGCCAGAGACACTGTAATATGCCTTGATGGTATTACTGACTTGTGTCAAGATGAATAATAAGTGGTAAATGACAAGAAAGGAAAATCTCTTAAAGATATTCTACAAAAAATTAAAAGATATGTGTTTTTTTTTTCTGTTTCATAATCTTAATTTCATTGCATTGTATGTTGGTGATAATAGCTAGTTAGTGATATGCTAGAGAAAATGCAAAATAAAATATAAACATTTACCTTAAAAACAAACTTTTGATATTCATTTAAGAGGTTCTAGAGATTATGCAAATAATATATGAAAACTATAAGATGAAGAAAAGTATATAATACTTAAAATAACCTTGTACTTGATTTATTAAAGAGTTTGAGTGCAAGTAACTACAGTAGATAAATAATATATTTTTAGTAAAAACACTTAATTAAAATAATGTTATTCTTTATGTAAAAGATACTAGTGATTTTTAATAAAATCTTAAGTTTTGAGAGGTTACATAAAGAAATCTCAGAATCGCCATATGTATTGTTGTATAAGTGAAATTTGTGACACATTTTCTACAAATTACATGAGCCTGATGTGAAAGGGTTAAATGGTATTTCAAATTCAATAAACCTATTGAACTAATTCAATTAAGTAGTTTTAAGTATAACCTACTGCAAATTTTTCTATTGTGCACTCTTTATACTAAAAACCATATTAGGACAGTAAAGAATAATATGATTAAAATTAATATCTACCTTATTGTGAAATAATATCATAACTTGATTGCTTTGAAACTTGATTACATGCTGTTTCTGTGATTTTCTACATTACTTAAATGTCACTTAATAACATTATTGAAGTCAAAAGCATAATCACTGATGCTGTTATTCAGACTTTCCAATGGGTGATATGTACATTAAATTATAACTTTTTGTAGCTCTTGTATATTGTCAGGTCCAGGATTTTCAGAAAGCAGACATCGAGAGACATATGCTAGCTACACCATATGCTGTATCAACCAATATTTCATTACTGTTTTGATCCAGCACAAGTTTATTGATTTGTATATTAGTGTGTTTCAGTACTACAGAAATGAAAGACAAAGATATGTATAATGTAGCCTCTTAGGCATAATACTCAAACAGATGAAAATTGAAATTAAATATCTGTTTCTTTATAAATGTGAAATCATATCCAAATTCCAGTTCAATTCCTGAAATACTCTTGCCTACCTCCCCAAACCTAGTGGGTATATAGTTTTCCATCATGACTGTAACTTAAGAAATATAGATTACAGCAGGAAAGTAGAGCTTGTAAACAGCATCCTGATGCATGCCCAATAAGAAATATGGAAGGTGAGAGAGTGGAGGATTCTGGGTAAGTCGACATGTGGTCGACAACATAAAGGCAAATTTAACAAAAAAAAGATTTTAGTATTTCAGAGATAAGTCTACTTGATTTGAAAATTGCTTTTTCTAATACATTTTTTTTTTCACTGAGATTTTTCTTCTAATTATCCAAAAAAAAAGAGAGAAAGGAGGAGAGAAATGCTCACCTGTCAAGTATGTAATAGGAAAATGTGGAACAACAATCATCAGGAAGAGAGCAAAGAAAATGCTAACTGCTACTTTCTGCATTACCTGTTCCTAAAATACCAAAATAGTAAGTTAGTAACAAATAGTAAGAGATGAATCTCAAAATGAATGATATAACTGTGCAATAATGTTTGAATTTTTTTTATTTGTTTGTTAAAGACTGTTAACTAAACATCCTTTTCTTTTCAAAAATGGTTTAAGATGATTCTTTCTTTATTTTGATAGTTTAGCCAAAATAAATCTAGAAATAGCTACTTGAAATATTTCTCAGCCTGTAACTAATTTTCCATACCAAATAAATCCAGTCCTAAAGTTCTTCTTCTGAAATTTACTACAGATTCTGATTTAGATAATTTAGGTATTATAATATTAAGACTAAATTTCAAAAATTAATTATAGTTTCATAAAAAAGTTACATTCAATCTTGCATACGATCATAATAAAATTAGAAGATATGTATCACATATAATACCTTAACTAACTTTTTATTTTACTTATATTACACAACAAAGTAAATGAATGAAAAAATATTTAGTCCATGCTTACCATTGGAGGACCCTGGTAGACCAGTTGTTTAGTTATTTCATCTACCAGCTTGTTCTGGAAAATACAATTAAAGATAGTGAATATGTGATGTTTTAATTTGAAGAAAATAATAAAACTCCAAGAAACAAAATTAAACAAGCATTTCATCTAGAAAAACATTTATAACCATACAATTCAACATTTATGTGTGCCATAAAATTTACAATCCTTCCTAAAATTGGAAACTGATGAGGGTTAATGTTCATACTATAAAGAATTTTATAGTGCACAGAAATGGTTGATAATACCTCAATTTCAGTATCATCTAACACAAGTAACTAGTGTGTATAATTATTAAAATATCCATTTGTGAAATACAAGTACACCTACAATTATATTTAATGTATGCAAAGTCTAGAAATCTATGTAAACTAAAATAACTTAGTCAAATAAAACTACATATAATTAAGTTTGTACCTTATGTTAATAGTACATACAAAAAATTATCAAGCCAAACTAAGTTTATCTTTAAAGTTATAGTTAGGTTCACAATTGTAGCATATCCTTTGTTGTTACAAGTAATGATAAAAACACATATCCTAGAAAAATCTAACTAAATTTATTAAAATTAAAGAGAAAAATATAAATTTATATGTAATTGTGAAAAACCAATTAAACCTATAGTAAGTACATTAAATTAAACTGTCAGTCAAGCACACTCACTAATAATAAAATTATCCATCAAAAAACTCAACAAAACTTCATAAAGTTCAATATACTTATCAATTTTTGTTTTATATAAATCACATGACTAACCACAAATTCAAAGTTGGACTGTTCTTAAGTCTATAAATATAATACAATATGAAAACTTAAATGAATATGGATAAGCCTAATACATTCTTATATTACTGAATGGTAATATTTTATTATAGTGTTGGCCAACTCAATCTGCTAAAACCCTTTTGTTAGTTCAGATTTACTTAAAAAGGTTTACAGTTTACATCACATTTGAATCAATGAATGCCTAAAAAAATATCACATCACTTAAAGCCAATACAAAGTCAATTACCACACTTTTAATCCTAAAAACCACACTATACTACAAAAACCATTTGTTGTTCTTCTACACTATTATGATCCAATAAAATTTTACTGAGTTATTTTTTATGACCTCTCTAGTAAACATTGGCAAGTGTCTACTCTACATTTGAGACTTTTGGAGTTAAGAAGTTCCATGTTGTATATATTTTAACTCACACTGTTCTACAGGGATCAGTACAGTTTAACTCATTTACATGAGAAGAAGTTAGGTTGTATATTCCAGATTTTAATTCAGCTTCATATTTTCCTACCCGAGAAATATGAACTTGTAAAACCTTTTCTTTTAATAAGATTATATTAAAGAGCATAAAAAAGAAAACTCTTCAGGGTTTTTACTACTTAAACTTTATGAATAGATTTCAACTTTAAACTCATTGACAATCCCCACAGCACAAAGGTGATAAGTAGATATCTAATACCTGTTCCCTTCCTCTAAAGCAATGACCATCTTGTTTGCTGAACATCACAACAGAGGACTAACTATTTGCAATACATGTTCATGGAAGTGCAGTGGTTTGATGATAAAACCTTCCACAACATAATACTTGGATGTTAAGAAGCTTGCCCCGAGTGTGGTTCAAATCTAGGATTCAATTCATATTGGTGTTTTGAGGCCAATGCTCTACTAACTGAGCTATTAAACTCTCTTGCTAAGGGCTTGGTCAATTCAACCTAAAAATTGACCTTTTCCATATTATAACTTCTAATATGTTTTGTGTATCTTCACAAAATTTTGCAAGTTTCAGTAAGCACTAAGAGTCATTTGTAAACAACAAATCAGAATTTTAAGGAAGTATTTTCACTAAATACTTCTCCATAAATATATACAATCAAAGTGTTGACTGCTCCAAGTGCAAAATGATTTTCATGTTGAGATTAAAATACTTTTCTTCATCTCAAAAGTCTCAAATTTCATTTGCATTATCTCTAAGACTCCTAAATAAATTTAAAACACTTTTTTTTTCCAGTAACACTTTGTATTTTATCTGTTATTTTCTCTACCCTAACTCTATAGAAGATTGGTAAAATTGATTGACCTCATAACCACCAAAAAACAAAATTAATGAATATTACCCTTTTTTATTTCTAGAATGACTTCAAATTATAACATGAAACTACATTTGTTTATCCTAAATAGCTTTAGACTTGTAACAGTATACATATGTTTATACTTAATTTTTTGTTTTATTGCTCTCTGAACCATATCTAACAAATTTTCCTGTCACATAAGTTGTAAATAACTTAGCAAATGTATAATTCACGTTACCATATCAAATTACGTAATGTGCAGGCTACTCGCAAGTGTACCTCATGAAACATTATTATTATTATTTATTTACCTAATCTAACTTAAAAAATTATTATTTTTATAATAATAAATAAAGAAAACAGATGAAAAACATATAGTACTTATCTGGGTCTTCTGTTTTTTTTTTTTTTTTGTCAACTGTCAATGAAACTTAACCCTATTTATTTTTTCATACTAATGGTAATACTGCACAAAACACTTTTTTATTTAATTAAATAA